AAAAAACATGTAAAGTGTTGAAACCACTAAACAAAACTCGTGGTGTAGCCCAGAATTAGAAATATAACGAAAAAAAACAAACAAGAGCCTTAAGGCGCAGATACCAAAGATGTCAAGATAGGATGCGAAATGAATACAAGGCAACATGTAAAACTTGATTGGGCGAGTTGGTCGCTCAACAAACAAGGCAACATACTTAGAGGCTCAAAAAAATTACAAGAATAATGTAAAAAAAGTTAAGATATAATCATGGCAATTATTCTGCACAAAAATTAACATATTCAATATTCCTTATAAAGTCGCCTTCAGTAAGACTAAAAAAGCCATCACAATACCTGCAATAAGAAAAGCCAATGGTAGAACATCAACGTCTCTGGAAGATTCAGTAAAAACAATATTAACGGCCCGCTTTCCAGCTGACAAGCCAAATGAATATAATAATGAACAAAGAAAAATCCAGAAGGACGTAACCCCCCCCCCCCCCCCCCCCCCCCCCAACCGAAAATGATATACCGTCTGTAATAAGTGAATTAGAAAATGTTATAAAAAATGTCCCAAACCGAATAACACCTGGCCCGGATAACATTACTACAACAATAATAAAAGCATTTTTCAACAAACATAAAGAACTATTCCTTAACGTCTTCAACGGGAGCATAGCTTACGGGTACTACCCAACACAGTGGAGACAAACAAAAACAATTCTAATCCCGAAAAACACAGGAAACCCACATGAAAAAGCGCATATCGACCCATCTGTACAAATTCAATCTTTGGCAAAATCATAGAAAAACTACTAAACAATCGAATCTATTACTATCTCTATTCGAAAAACCTATTACATTATAAACAATATGGATTCACAAATGAAAAATCAGCAACAAAGGCCCTCCTAAAAATAAAGGAAACTCTATAGAAAACGTAGCTGCAAAGGAAAAATCAATTCTTATTTCACTAGATATATTGAACGCTTTTAATGCAGTTTGGATACCTTTTGTGTTACAGAAACTGAAAGAATACAAACTCCCAAAAAAACTCTACCTACTATTACAAACAATACTAAATGAAAGAACAATAAATTATAAATTAATAGCCACAGATATCACAATAAACTCCCCATTAGGAAGCCCACAGGGCTCATCATTAAGTATCTTATTTGGAACGTCTTCTTCGCTACCCTATTGGATCTTAAATTTGAGGAAGGAACACACATCCAGGCATTTGCAGATGACGTAACAATCATAATTATAGAGGGAAAACAAGATTGGAAATAGAAGAAAGAGCGAACAAAACGCTGGCAATCATTGACAAATGGAGCAAAGAAAAGAAAGTTAACTTCAATACAACTGAATCTCAATACAAAACAATTGGAAAGGATTATAAAAAAAGGCCACCAACAGTGAAATTTGGTGATAAGAATCTCAAACTCACGGAAGAACTTAAGATACTAGGAGTCGTCTTCGATCGAAACCTATCATTTATCCCACACGCCAACTATTTAACATCTAAAATATATCAAAACACCACAAAATCGTCAACATTTTAAGGAATGAAGTGGGGGGAATTAAAGCTAAACAATTCAGAGACATCTATATAAAATCATTTGAGAGAACAATAGTTTACGCAGCAGCAGTATACTGGAAACCTACTAATAACTCCCACCTACTTAGAAAAATGACCTCTGTACAGAGAATCCCACTGATAAAAATAGTCAAAGCATACAGGACGGTTTGTAATAAAAGTCTCAATATACTCACAAATATAAAACCAATTGAATTCACACTGACCAAAGAAGTGGCAACATTCAATATTTCCCAGAACAAAACAGATTACACAGATGGCGGGAAACCATACAAAAAACAAAACAAAACTCAACACCTAATGGATGTGTGGAAAACCCACCCTGCAAAGTTGGAAGGCTTTCCCTTTCGAAATAACAACCAGACGGCTATCCCAACGGAATACAAAATATACATAGACTGACCAGTGGCAAAAACATCAGTGGGCGCCAGTTATATTATGATGGACCAGGCGGAGTCAATTATAGCTTTGCAAAAACTAAAATTACCAGTATATGCAAATACATATGAAGCTGAACTGATTGCCATACAAGAAGCATTAAAGAAGATACTAATATTTAATAATAACACCACATTTGCAATATACTCTGACAGTCTATCTTCATTAAAAGCAATTGAAAACCCATACAATAACAACACAATAGTACACCAAGTAAAAAAAAAATAATAAAAAGAATCCTTCAAAAACATAAACTCTACTTGCACCATATAAAAGGACACTAATATAGATGGGAACAATATAGCTGATAAATTAGCCAATGATGCGCGTAAGACAGGCACACTAATGGAACTGAGGATGTCAAAAAAACACATTAACAACGAAATAGAGAAAAGTATGAGATATTTTGAATGAAGAGTGGACACAAAGTGATACAGACAAAAACACACACAGTTGGATAAAGTCAATCTACAACATACCAGAATACTTCCCAACCAACTACGATCAAATTCAACTTACAACAAATAACGGAAAATTCCCACACTACTTTAAGAAAATAAGAAAAACAGAAAACAGCGATTGTGAGTGGGGGAGGGAGGCAGAGGGGTTTCAACACTACATTCAAAACTGTCCTATCACTAAAACACTTAGTGATACCTTCATAGCCAAAAACCCATCAGGCCTAACATACGATACCAAAACAACGTAGTACAAAGCAAAAATGAATTAAAAAATATTGGAGAATATTGTAGAATTAATAAACAAAACCATTCCAAACCCATAAAAAAAAAAATTGAACAGGACAAGGCGAGGACGGTTGGGACAATCAACCTCCTAAAATGTGTTTAAAAAAAAAAAGAAAAAAAAATCCAGTGAGAGAGAGGGAGACGCCAACGCAATAGTGGTGGAAAACTATCGATAGTACTATCGATAGTGGACTATCAAATAACTATTGATAGTACATCGATAGTCGACTATTGTAAATCTATCGATAGTACTGTTGACAATTTACTATAGATAGTTTTGCGACACTAGTAGTTTGCGTCGCTCCCTCTTCTCTTTTTCTCGCTTTATTTTTTCAAATGGGACAACAACTGGACCAAGCACTTACCCTCCCAACTTTGGTTCAGCTTTCAGTGATGACGAAGACGGAAGTTTGGGCGGAGAGAGGAGGAAAGGAGGCGAGCGGCGGTACGGCAACTGTGTTCGCTCTAGTGGTGCAAAACTAACAATAGTACTATAGACAGTGTCGATAGTCTCCAGATATCTGACTACCCATAGCAAAATAACTATCGCTAACAGAAAGTTTTAGGCCACCGTTTTTAAAAAAATCCAATACAGTATGGTAGGCCCTCCGGTACGAACTGTGCATGCGCTACCACAGAAGAATCCCATGTGCGCAGTTCGTACTGGAGGGCTCACCATACTGTATCGGGTGTGCAAAAACGGTTCCCTAAATCTCCCTAATGTCGCAGCATTATCGATAGTCCACTATCGATAGTAATATCGATAATCGACTATCGAAACACTATTGATAGTACCAGAGTCCTTCAATGCTTTTCTGGTCACGAAACTCCGCCCGAAGGTTGATATAGGGACAAAATTTCTCGCTAGGGGCGCCACCTGTCGTAAGGGGGCCAGCAGCCGCCGCCAGTGCTGGGCTTGTATGCGCACTGCTGCTGATGTTTCGACGCAATTATGAGCGTGCTGGTCTTCCTGTTACGCTTTCTTAAACATCATTGAACGCGCCAATGCCACCAGATAAATAAATCGAAACGGGATCCAGTGTCGACGATGAATGAGAGCTGCTTACTTAGAGCACATGCATAGTTTACTTGGGAGTGCGGGCCTACCTTCTAAACCGCAGCGCGTTTCAAATGTTCTCACAGCGCGCGATAACGCATTGCGTTGATAATTACCTCATAGCCCAATTATATGAGTACTTAGGATGCCTCGAAGCGGTACGTGATAAAGACGATGCTCATGCTCCCGATGCGAGCATGCTAGATCTGCTCGGCGTGTTTATATTTGCGCCTGGCCAAAGGGCGATTGTGTTTATGTGGTAGCTAGGTGATTGGTAGTGCCGCAGATAGGGGGAGGAAGGTGAACCGAATGAAAAACGACTAAGCAGGACAGAGGCGATCGCATCAGTTCATATCCGGCTCGTCTCTCGCGCGCTACTACCCAAGTATTCAAATGAAGTGAATGGTCCAGCTAGACGTTTTATTTCAGACCTTTCAGTTGAGTTTGCACCCAAATGCGCAGTTGTTTTGGACACACGTTTGTGAGCGTCGATCGCTTTCTTGACGCAGGGAGTTTCGGTGGCGCGGTGAGCAGCCGAGCCCTTTCGCGACCGCTCGCTTCGGTATTAAGGGTGTTTTTCGAATAAACACGAGTTTCTCGTGCCTAACATTTAATTGATCACTTTTTTCCACGCAATTTACACGGGACATTCTTTGCTTGACATTTCCTTGTGTTTACTGTTTAGAGCATTAATTACCGGCCGACAACCCAGGATTTCTTCGGGAAGGGAAGTACAGCAGCCTAATCTGGAAGTTCCTTTTGATGCCAGTGCTAGCTGCTCGACCACCTTTGCCACTACCGAGGTGACACATCGTATATATTTTTTATTTTTTGGATGATGAGGGGGGGGGGTGGGGGCAGTAATGATTTAAAGCATGCAATAAATTTGAAATTTGGTGGTAATGATACTCCGCTTGGTACTCAGGTGTGTACTTATTCATTCATTCAGCTTTATTCACTTTTGTTTTACATAATTTTTTCTCTGGTCTGCCTAAGCACCGAATGCTTGTAGGCTTTCCAGACAGTTGGTGTAAACATACACAAAAGAGAATAAGCACACTCTCAAATGTGAACACGACGAATACTTGTTGTTTGAAAATCACATTGCAGAATTATCTATTGCAACATAAACATAAACTGCAAAAACATACTTGTAGACACATACACCGCCATTGTGCTTAACACTGTGGCTTCCGCCCCCCACTTGCAGGGCATGAACCTCGCACAGTTGCCCGCGAGACTTTGTTTTTTTCTCGCGTGAAGAAATGTAATCTACATCTCAAAAAAAGTGGACAACCTCAGCTGTTGTCCCTAAAAAGTGTGACAAACAACCTACACTTGCTGAAACTGTACGGCTGTCGAGCAAAATGCCCTCAACAATCCTCACGTACACGTCGCCGCATGCAATTTTTTGTACCGTGTACGTCTCTACATGTTCTTCAACAATTTTTAGGAGAACAAGAAGGCGGCTGCAAGGTACTTTCGAATAGCCCCTCGATTTTGTCTGGATCAAGTTAGATGGGTGACGTGTTGCACTCAACATCGTTTCAATGCAGCCGGCGCAATCCAAAGTAGAAAACTTCTTGGCCACATATCCGCCTAGGTAATCCAAAATGGAGTCTTTGGTCGACAGGGGGCCAATGTCTTCCACGCAGTCTGTTGTTGGCTCCAGCAGGACATCGTCCAGCAAAACAGCTAGTCGTGTCCACCTGAAATGTGCACAACTTCCTTAATTTTCAAGGTGATAGAAAGGAAACTACAGGACACAAAGTGCAAAATACCTGAGTCGTAGAGGGCTTTTCCTTGTCAAAAAGACCTTGCAAAGTGAGAAGCAGTTGTGGCCCGTTTCCGTCAACTGAAGCTCGCTTAGGTGGCCGCACGAGGTTGTTTACCGACAGCATCCGGTATATAAACAAAAACTGCTGAACAGTTGGTTGGCCCCCGTCTCCTGCAACATGCCTGGCCATTCCAAAGAAGCGCTGTACAGGGAAAAAGAAAGATATCTGTACCAACACACAATGCCAAAAAGTACCTGAATTACCTCTAAGGGGTCTTGGCCGAGGTTTCCAACTAGGACATAACGGAAGCCTGACTTCAAGACGCGATCAGTCAGGGCCACCGTGCTGTGCAGCGTTATTCTCAGTGCACCACAAGTTGGCTTGCTGAGGAAGAACACCTGCCTCTGCTTTGGCAGGCTCTCTATGTATGTGCAGCAATCCTCCAGCCACTTCATGTTCGCCTTCAATGTCTGGAATGCAAGAAATATTAACCTTGAGTACACCAGAAGAAAAACGTATTTGGATGTAATTTACTCGCTCACCGCGATGTGCTCTGCTTCGTTGTATTGCACGTCCTGTGGTCTTCTTGAGTTGAGGCAGTCAAATAGATTGTTCATCTGCTTCGTGAAGTTGTACGTAGCCGTGGAGTTATGTAGCTTTTGGCAGCCTTCTTGCTTGCTATAAAACTCCATTGCAGACGCCGTGCTTTCACTGAAAAGCTGAAAACGACGGCACAGTGTTTTTGAGCGAAAAAGCTCTTTGCATTGAAATTTGTATTTTTTTACATTGTTTGTTAGCAGATCATGAGCAAAGTCTTATGTCATTAGTTTGCCTGTAAGTGCATGGCTTTACTAATTACTAAGAGTGGTTACTCGCCTGAACAGCAAGCCGCACACTCATCTTCTGGAAGGCGTTGGGGAAGATTGTGAGCCCTCGTGAGCTTCGGGACAGCACGAAGGCCAGCCTGTTGCTCCTCGTACTCCAACAGGGCAGAGTAGTGGCAGTGATGGACCTCATGTCCTTGCGGTAGCTGCGATAAAAAAAGTGAAGCTACGGTTCGAAAAGGAAATAACCTAATCTAGATTCGAATTACTGCTTACCAGGAACTTTCCAACCTTCTGAAGATTGTTCCTTATGCATTTGAAGACATGGGGTGGGTCAATTAGTGCCTGCACTGTCCGTGAAGGGTCGCATGGATGCTGGAATGAAGTTTGCAGCTGTCTCTGGTCACTGTTTATCCCTGAAAAGAAGGTAGCGATGCAGTTAGTTGTGTTCAACTACTTTAATTTCACAAATGTAACTCACGTCCACAGATACTAACCCAAGCTTTTTAAAGCTGAACGATTTGGCGTTGAATTGTCACATGTAACTGCATCGACAATAGCACCAGCTTTCGAAAGGTGCACAATGCACTGGAGCAACAACTTTGCCACTATTGAGCCAGGGGCTGCACCGGAAGAACAAAAGGTCCCAACAGTCTGCGACCACCCTCCAAGAAATGGTCAGAAGAGAAAGACCAGGACGTGATCGCCATCTTTCTCACAGTCCAAGGGTCTTGTGTGCTCGGCGAAGTTAACCTTACCGAGCAGAGCCATATCTGACTCCCTAATGTGCAGACTCTTTCTTACGCTCATCTCGTCGAACATCAGCACACCTGTAAAAAAAATACATCTCTTTAGACATGCAGCACATATATGAGATATGAAGTCACAGAATACAGTAGTAAGTTTGTGTATTGTTCCAAACCTCGACGCTCTCTCTCAGGAAGTACTTGCAGCTTGTCTTTGAGAACAGTGAATTATACAGAGTGCTGTCAAAACCAAAGTCAGCCTTCAGGCTCCTCAGGTGCATGCAGAGGGTGCGAGGGTTGGGCAAGGGAAGGTATTCATTCTCGTGAAGGAATGTATAGACCGCTGTCGACTTAATCTTCAGCAGCAGGTAGTCATAGATCCATTCTTTCTTGTACCTAAGAGTGTGCAGGTTCGTTGTGCATTCAATTAAATTGAGGCTGGTGTGTGAACAGTGCAAGTACATAACCACAGCAAGCAGAAAAAAGATGCACGACATGCGTCACACCCTTTCCTCATACCGCAATACACAACCAACGCGTTTAAAAATGCCTCATCATTTCCAATATTAACATGCACCCTACTCCAGCACGGGAGCAACAGACAGGTTGCATTGTGCGATCATGCAAAGCGGGCAATTTAGGATTACTCTGACGTGCAATGATAGCATGCACTGCTCTCAAAAAATATTGACAAGACAGTGGCACGAAAAAATATGCGCGATTATATTCATAGCATTTTGGCAGTTATTTGCAGATGAAGCTTACCTGGCAGCTTTCTGAGATTTCGCATTTGCCTTCATGATGCACTGATCGAAGATAAGCTCCTTGCGGGTGGATAGTTTGTCCAGGTTTTGAACGAGTCTTGCATTTTTGTTGGCCAGGACTCTCATTTTCGCAAGCTCCTTCTGACACCGTTCCAGTCGTTGCCTCGTGCTAGAAAGCTGGGCCCTCAGCGCCTGCGTCTCAACAAACGAACACACTGCCTGTTCCGTTTGGCAGGCCTGATCTGCGTGTTCACTATTGCAGGCGTCTGTAAAACAAATCAATAACACTGTTCACAAGTACCTCAATGCCACCAGCCGCTACACAGGGTCATGCGACTGAAGGAACAAAGAAAAGCCGCGACCAAATTGGCGCAAGAGCTTACCGTCACTAGCTTCTCCTGCCGAGTCGGTGTTCGCATTTTGGCGTTCCACTGCTGCGCATTCAGGTGACAATTTGCGCCGCCTCTTCGCTGGTTGCCTCTGAATCGCTGGCCGGGAACGCGGTTTCGGCTTTGTCAGGTACGCCGGGAGCTCGTCAAAAATCCTCGGAACAGCATCGGTCCGAAGTCTCGGTCTCTCTCGCTGAAGCGACACAACCACCCCGTTCACAGTGTGCTCGTCGGTTCTTACAGCGTCGCTAGCATCAAAATGATTTTCGCAAACCCGAACGTTCTTGCTTTCGAAGTTGAAACCGCCAGCTTCCAACCGCGGTATTGCTCTCTTCCACTTCTCCCGAAGTTCGGCGCTACTTGGGAAACAGAAGAGCGACGCCTTTTCCTTGTTGCTTCTGTATCCGGAGCTGCAGCCCGTCACGCAGAACGTCTTGGGCATTGTTCATTCGAATTTTCATGCCGTCGACCTTGAACACGATGCACTGGCACATGAAGTTTGCGTGACGTTGATGCAACAACTTCGTTGGAAGGAATACCGTGAGCAACCTCCACACAACGCCTTCGGGCTGCCGCCGCTGCCAGTGCGTTCCGCCGGGCGCAACGGGGCGATGGCCCCCCTAAGACAGCTCGCACCGCGTAGCGGCCGTTCTTGGCACCATATCAAGCTCTCCCGTAGAGTGACGGAGAAGTTTCATGACCACAACGGTATTAAGGGACTCTGATAGTACTATCGATAGCCGACTATCGAAAAACTATCGATAATACTAGCGATAGTCGACTATCAAAAAACTATGGATAGTGCTTTCAATAGTCGACTATTGATAGTTCTGCGATACTATCAATAGTTCTGGAAAAACTATCAATAGTCAATTTATCAATAGCTTTGCATCACTACAACACAATCAAGCAAATACAACAAAAGTGTTCACAAGGACAAACAACCACGAAGGACAAAAGAACCGGGCCCTGCCACAAAAAGTGATCTGTCGAAACACAAAGACCACACTAGGGAGGAGAAACCGAAAACTCCCCCAAAAAGAAAAAAGAAAAAAAAAAAGAGCGAAAGGTTACATCAAAAACGGCCAAAAGGCGCAGGACACAGCGGAGGAAGGGTGACGAGCGTCACCCAAACCTCAGCGGGTCTCTGACATCCTTCTTGGGGAGTCAGGACCGCCTGCCAGCCCCCTGGTTTCGGCCTCAGGGTAGGGTCGTGTTGTATTTAAATTTTTTTGCAGTTTCTATATACACTAGCTAGGTGGTGCCACTGTCCACCATTGCGCCCGTGTTGTCAGGGTCGCGTCCCCGTGGCGCTTGACCATCATGTTTGTTTACCGTTATATGAGTACGCCACCAAACGTGTCAGACGCCTCTTTCCTTCTGGGGCGTTCCCGCGCCCCCGGCCCCGCCGGTCACCACCTCGTCATGTGAGACCCCTCGTCTTTTCCGCAGGCCCGCGTGGGCTCTGCTCTTCTTATTATTTCGCGGGCAACCGCCTTCCTTTTTATTTACTACATTTTTGGCGACGACGATGGGATAAGTTGTTTTTTTTCCCACATTTTGAACCTTTGCGCCCCATGAGGCTTTGTTTCGCCGTGGCTCTGCTTTTGAGCATCGTTTTGAGAGGGCCCGAGCAATTGGTCGTACTCCCCGTCCGATGGACTGGACATGTATTATTTTTTTTTTTTCGCTCTTCGCATCATCTTTGATGTTCGAAATGGCGTCGTGCAGAGTTCCCGCCAATTTTCTCAGTACTCCCGGTCAACCGATAATGCCGTGGCTCGCATGGAAGCGCGGCTTCCTCATCAACCTCGAGGCAGTCGACGCCGAGGATTTTCCGCCGAAACGGAAGAGGGTGATTTTATTTTCATTTTTCGATGATGAAGGGAATCGCGTCGTTGATGCGTTCCACCTAGCGGGTCCAGCCGTTCACGCGGCAGAAGACGAATTTCAAGTTTTAATGTCCGCTTTGGATTCGCATTTCGCTTCCGCTCGAAAAATCATTGTTGAGCGTAGGAAGTTCGTCAACCGAGTACAAGGTGCAGTAGAGACCGTCCTCGAATACCTTGGGGCACTCTGACGCCTAGCATCCTTTTGCGATTACGGCGAGGCTTTGGAGAGCAACGTCGCTGAGATGTTTATTTCGGGGATCCACAGCACAGAAGTGCAGGATCGTTTAATCCGAGAGTCCGACGGAGCTAATGCACCTAGCCTCGAGCATGCTGTCCAACTAGTGCAGCAGTTCGAGCGGACATCTCGAGATTGCGATCTTTTTCGGCGTTTGTCAGACCAAGATCCAAACGCGTCGCACGTGATACAGCGTGTCCAAGATAGCCGCAATCTTCAACCGTTGACTGACCAGCATGGCAAAAATGGCGAGGCATCTTCACGAAGGAACTGATGTCCTCCTCCCCGTTTTCCCCGAGACGCGAGCGTTCTTCTCCCCCTCCTTCTCCTCCTTCCCCGTTGGGTCGCGAGTTGAGACCTCCTCCCCCTCTCATTCGCCGCCGTTCGCGCCGCTCGTTTTACTCTCGCCGAGAGGCTCTCGCGCGCTCGTCATGCGATTTTTGCTTTTGTGGCCGCAAGAGCCACGCGCGGCAAGAGTGTCCGGCATCCGGAGCTACGTGCTTCTCGTGTGGCCATGTGGAACATTTCGCTAACGTCTGCCGGAGTCGTCCAAGAGGCGACCGTTACCAGCAGCAGCTGGCCCTTCCTAATGGACGGCGAGCCTCCGTCCGCAACGACTACTGCCGTCTTCAAGCAGAGCCTGGTCTGACAAGAACCTCCGTTCAAGTCGCCACGTTCCCAGATGGCTACAGCGACTTGTCAGCTACCATCTACATCGTGGCAACGCCCGACGGTCTTCCGGAGCGGTGCCGTTTTTGCGGTGGCCCCTGCCACCCCAGGGAGTTCTGTCCTGCGGCGCACCACTCTACCCCAGTGGCTACGACTCGACCGTGGGGGGCCTAGCAACCCTCCCACCATGTTCAAGTCCGGATACCGGAGGCGTCGAACGATGCGTCACCCTTTGGCGCCACGAGCATGCACCATGGTACCGGCCCCGGGGAGGTACCTTGCCTCCGGAGCACACAGCCTCCGCTGCAGCCCCGTCTGCAGTTCCTGCTGCTGCCCCGTCAGCTGGTCATCCAGTTGCACACAGACTGCCACTGAGGGTGCAGCCTCTAGCACCTCGTTCGAAGGTGCACCAGTACCGGTGCCAGTCCCGTTCCCAGTACCAGTGTCGTCAACACCCATCCTGACGCAGCCCAAGCCGTTCCCCAGACCAGAGCCACCAGAGCCCTAGGGTCTAGACGCCTCTGTGCAAGAGTGTCGTTGGCGGCTGCCAGATGTCCTGAAGGACTATTTCATCAACTCTTTTGGACTGGGTTCAAGATATGTGTGAACAATCAGTGACTTATCCAGCGTATTGCCTTAGGGCAGCTTTTCCAGTGTAGTGCTTTCCGCAAAGGTCATTTGCGACGTGCTTTTCCTTCTAATTCATGTCTGTTTCCTGTGTCCTGACATAGAGTTGTCAGAGGTCATTTCATTTCCTTTCAGTTGATTTCCTATCCAACTGCCCTGTAGTTTGGCATCAGTTTTACCGTTCCTTCCCTCATTGTTTTTCGAAAGAGAGTTTAATCATTGTTTATAAGAAAGGGAAGAATATGGGTTTATTTATTTTTTTTTAAGGAAAGGAAAGATGTTGTATTTAAATTTTTTGCAGTTTCTATATACACTACCTAGATGACGCCACTGTCCACCATTGCGCCCGTGTTGTTAGGGTCGCGTCCCCGTGGCACTTGACCCCCATGTTTGTTTTCCATTATATAAGAGTACGCCACCAGCCACCAACCGTGTCGGATGCCTCTTTCCTTCCGGAGCCTTCCCATCCCCCCGCCCCGCCGGTCACCACCTTGTCATGTGAGACCCCTCGTCTTTTCCGCAGGCCCGCGTGGGCTCTACTCTTCTTTTTATTTCATGGGTGACCGCCTTTCTTTTGATTTACTACATTTTTGGCGACGAGCATTTACTACAGGTTGCGAACTGTCCATGAATAGGATAGCGGTGTCACGGCAGGCCCCTTCAACAAAAGAAAAAAAATGTTTCTACAAAGCAAGCGTCCTCGAATATTGAAAAAAAAAAAGGATAACTACCACAGAGGAAGGAGTCCCACAAAACAAAGACAGAGACAAAAAATAAAAATAAAGAACAAGAAGGCAAACATGGTACATGACCAACCTCCCCAATCCACACTCACAAAAAGTGAAGAAATGAAGAAGGTTTCAATAGATATTATTTATTTTTCTTTTTTCTCTTAGTACAAATTGGCTTTTACGAAAATTATATCGCTTGGGTCATACCCCTATTTATTCTATCTTCATTCGGATTAATTCTGTATTGCTAAGGCTGGAGCAGACTGAGGCACATTATTTTTCTTTCTTTTTCTCTCATCTCGCAACATATTTGTCCCCCAGTGAGGGACCGACCACCGGGGGCCAATGTAGCAACACGTCGCAAAGGTGAGCTCCCTCGATTTTCACTTTTTTTCAAAAATTTTATGGCCTACAGAGCGAAAAAAATTTGACACGAACGTGTATAACACTACCGGGAACTAGCACGTTAAATTTCATAAACCAATCCGGCCAAAAAACCTATTTTTGCAGCACTTGGGTGCACACTGGCCTTCCACAATAAGCAAGCGCCAGCCCTGAAAATATAATAGAACATTACTGACATTAAAACCTTCGGTGAAAATTTTAACACTCTAACTTTAAAACTTTTCCCAAGAGAAGAAAACTAACTTTCCGGACCAAACTTTTCCCGCCAAAATTCTGACACTTTTGACGCTTGTAGCTTAAGTTTCCCCCGCTGGATATCGTCCAAATTTCTGTCACGGGTAGTTAACAC